TGCAAAGCTGCATTTTCAGCATCATTACTCCAGTCTTCAGTGTCAAAAATAATTCTAATATGCTGATTTGCTGAAAACAGTTTGCTGCTTAATAATTGTGAAAACCGTGGTAAACTATTTGGAAATGTGCATAATGGAGCGCTTCATTCCCATTATGTTTATTTGATCAAAAATATTGTCGCTTATTTGATAAACAAAATTATGTAATATTGTGAAATATTATTGCAATTTTAAATAAATATTTTCTGTTTTTTAAAACATAAAATACATTTTATATTTTAACATTTAATATTAAATATATGTAAATATATTAAAATATTTTAAAATGTATTACGTGATAAATACCAGGTACACACACACACACACACACACACTTTTGCCCAGCAAGGATAGCTTTCAATTGATAAAAAGTGACATAATGTCAGCTTTATACACTACGTTTTAAAATATTTTAAAATAGAAACCGGTTATTTTAAAGTGTTATCATATTTCAGAATTTTATAGTTTTGCTGTATTTTTGATCAAATAAATGCCAGCCTTGGTAAGCATAAGATACTACTTATGTTCTCTAAGAATGAAGCGCTCCATTACGCACATTTCCATATCAACACCTGCTCTTATTACCATGTACATCAGATTCCCATTTGAGTTTTCACGACAGGCACGAGAAGTGAGGTGAAAAGGGTGAACCAGACGTGACGTTTCTCCCACCGTCCGTGTCCGGTATTGATGGTGGACGGACGTGAACTGTGATTAAATGTCAGAGGAAGCTGCAGGATTATTGGAGGTGAGGAGGTTTAGCCTAGAAGAATGTCAAGAGCATCATTGCCCTTTTAGTGTGTGTGAGTGGCCACATCACCCCGGCAGCCCTGGCTAATGACTTTACGCCAAGACAAGGGAAAAAGAGAGAGACAGAGAGAAAAAACGCAGGAAGGGTAATGACAGTGACTCAAAACGAATGAAAGGCTCTTCAAGTGTGTCACTAGTTGCGCTGAAACCGAATCACAATACGAAGACTATACTTTACGACAGCATTTTCTCGTAAAGGTCCTGAATGCTTTATATTGTGTCATCAACACTAAACCCTTGACCATGAGAAGTAGAGTTGTTGCTTTAATAGCATAGACTTATTTGTATAGCCACTTACTGATTATGCTTGAGTAGTAGGACAAAACTAGACATCCACCTGTGTTAGGATATAACATCCTGGATTATTACATTTTCATAATGTGTATTTTTCCTTGCCGGTCACTCAATACGGGTCAGGTTGAAAAATAACTTCAAATATTCATTATAAAATCAAAATATCTGGCAGTGAATGAGTGAATTGAGAATACATGGTGGTTTGAAACTTATTTTCAGCTTTAAAGGTCACAGTAACAGGACAATAACTCAAGGGACACTCAGAAATTCTTAGCTATTAGTGTTAAAACACACACACACACACACACACACACACACACACACACACACAAACATGCTACTGAAAGAATGTAATTCAAAACATTTGATTGCATGAGGAAAAAAAAATCACTGATTTAGCAATTATGTTTGATTGCACTTCAGATGTTAAACATGTTCCTCAAGGGACATGCGGAAATCATGCTAGTGCAATAGAGAAAAGGAACACCCCTTGTGTCAGTATTTTGTTGAACTACCGTTTGCAGCCTTTAGTTTGTTAGAATATGTCTCCTAACTTTGCACATCTAGACTTTGCAATATTCACTCACTCTTCTTTGCAGAACTGCTCAAGTTCAGTTAAATTTGATGGTGAGTGTTTGTGGGCTGTCTTCAAGTCATTCCACAGATTTTCAATGGGGGTTAACCCTCTGGGGTCTGAGGGGGTTTTGGAACCCTGGAGAAGTTTTGACATGCCCTGACATTTGTGTTTTTTTCAGTATCTTAAAAACATATTAATGGCTTAAGTCTGATTACACTGTATTCAGCGCAATTGTGCTACAATAATATGTATTCAGCATGTATGTGGGTCAAAGACGAAAAAGGGTTTAAGCATAAAAACAATAAGTGTAATACTGCTTTAAATTGTTGTTTAAATTGTTGTTCACCCCAAATACTAATTTGTTTTTACATTTAAAATGTTTTAAATTTGCCACTATCCTAGGTCTTGCTCATTTGTCCGTAAGAATTGTTTTACTCATTTAAAACACAATCAAATTTAATATGCTCCCTCATTTTTGTATCTATTTTAATATGTACACATCAGAATAAGCATGTTGTTTGAATTTTTACATAAATATTGTGTTACACTGAATGACAATGTAACATTATTTCAACCAAATTTTGACATTTTATTCTCCAAAAACTTTTTTGAAACCTTAAAAGTAGACACTTTACTTACATTTAATGTGCTTTCTATGGACATAAAATTACTTTTGTAAATTTCTTTTGATGCGGACATCTTAATGTCTTTGACCCACATACATGTTTGTGTTTTTGAGAAAACAATGTTTATGCGTGGTTAAGTCACTGAAATAAGGCAATGAAACACATACAGAACATTTGTCCACAAAACCTTTGAGAACTGGATGT